GTTTCGAGGATTGGAAGAAGCGCTGGCATAAATGCGTTATAGAGATTGCTTTAAAGGGGACAATATAAATGTTATTAAACAAATAAATATTTTTCCAGAAAAATTAAAAGTCACTTAGTTACTGTATTACTAAAAAATATAGTTTGAGCTTCTCTCGGATTGGAAGAAGCGCTGGAATAAGTGCATTTTCGTATTTCTAAGGGAGATTACTTTGAAATAAATATTTTTCCAGACAAATGAAAAGTCAGCTTACTTTTAGAACACACCACGTATACTTGGTTTCTGTATTACTGAAAAATATAGTTGGAGCTTCTCTCTATCCATGGAATTTCCTTGATTGTTTTTTCCTGCATTTATTTTCCATTTAATCCACTGTGTGAGGCGTCCACTTCAAACTTCAGTCTCGGAGTTCTCTTGGGGTTGCTGTGACACTCGCGTATTTAGCGAACGTGTTTTTCCAACTAACAAGGATGTTAATTTTTTGTTGTTGCTGCCACTGCTACTCTACTGCACGTACTTTTGCCACTATTTTTATTTTATTTAGAGCTTTGCACAAATGCCTCTTCACACCAAGTAGACGATGTCGACATCCAACATCATAGTCCTCGTATTTTTTTTTTATTTATTTTTTTTTTTTTTTGTATTTTTTTCTTCTCGCCTGACACTTTGAGAGCGGCCGCTGCTGTTGCCTGCTACTGCTGCTGTTTATTTTACGGCAGTGACGATTATGTGCCCCGGTCTCTGTCTCTATCGCTGTCCCGGTCCCGGTCCCGGTCTGGGCGCCGCAAAAGGGAAACCTCAGCCACATCCGATACTTTGTGTGGCCATTTTGTGTTTGGATTGATGCGCCCGGCGAACTAAATACTTTGCACAAGCGACCATCATCATGATGCTGAAGCTGAAGCTGATGGTCATGATGATGGTGTGATGGTGATGGTGATGCGGAAGAGGACGAGGACACATGACAAACGATGACAGTGTGATGCTGCTGTTGACCAAGAGTGGGTGATGACGGTTCGTGGGTTATGGGAGGAGGAATGTGGGGGAGGGGGTGTGGGCAGTGCTTGACACACAATTCGTTTGCTACTGTTGACTGTGACTGGGTAAAAGCATCCTGCGCGCTTTGTTGTTGTTGTTGGTTTAAGAAAATTATAAAGGATATTTTTGTGGTGCTGATGAGTTTGCCGAGTACTTTTTGGCGACTGACCAAACAAACATACAATAGCGATCGCATGTGCGATGGCGGGTGGAGACAGTCCGTGTGTGTGGCTGACTGACTGACTGAGTGTGTGTGGACTGAGTGTGTGTGTGTGTGAGAGCGTTAAGTGTGCAACGCGTCAGCAGCAACGCAACACAAATAGCAAAACAGGAAGCTCAAGTATGTTTACAGTTGACAACGCCAGAGCTAACCAAGCGGCAGGAGCGGGAGCAAGAGCGGGAGCGGAAGCAACAGCATCATCCAAAGCAACGCTTGATATATGGCGCTCAGGCACGTAGAAGCTGGCTTTGTTTGTCTCCGCTGTGTATGTGCGCTCATGTGTGTGGGTGCGTGTGTGTGTGTGTGAGTTTGAGTAATGGACGCTTTTATTTGAGAGTCAAGCAACGCGCATTGTTGGTTGGTCCTTCAGTTAGTTGGTTCGTGGCTCGCTTGTTTGGTGGGCTGGCTGGCTGGTTGCCTGCCTCGCTGCCTGCCTCTCTGTGTGTCAAAAGGGGTCAAAATGGATTTTCCGACTGTATTTGTTTGCTCGGGTTGTGGCAACCACTGCAGCTATTTGGGGGCATCCGATTTGAAGCTCTCATCAGGGTGGCCATTTCCAGTCTTCTTTCTATTGGGTTTCGGAATTTTTCACGCATGTTACACACATAAATCTGTATCGAGAACTTCTGATTGCAGTTCAATCCTTTTTCAATCATCACCTCTTAAGTCATGCATTTTCAATGACATTCAGAAACGCTTTGCTAACAAGTAGCTGCTTGAGAAATTCGACTAAAGTATTAAAGCTAAACGTGTCCTATGAGAATTCATTTTAGGATAAAATTTGAAGACATTGGGAGACAGAGGCAAGCCCTTTTTATTCTCGAGTTATGAAGTAAGTTGTGAAACAATTATAAAGCGCTATAGGAAAAGTAAAAAAAAATATGTTTGCTGAGACCAATCCTGTTTAAACTTGTCTTGTAAACTTACGATAAAGAAAATGGATTAGTTCTCTAGTTTTAAAAAGTTAAATATTAAGGAAAGCAGTTTTCACATCAGCTATTATTAAATAGCAGAGTGCAATGGCAATAAGAGTCCTTTACAATGCTCCATGGTTTAAATTTGAATTACATAGCTATTTTTCAACATACCAGCCGAAAAGTATTTATAAATTTGGATCAATTAGAGGATCTTGGTTTAGTCTTAACATATAAATCTACTTGAATAGGTTTCTGCATGTTTATTATACTCTACAATAAATATAAATTACTGTTGGTTTTTCTAGTATTATCCATTTTTGGGCTTATATCTTACCAGAGAATCCTTCAGGGTTGCTGAAACTTACGAATTACTATCTTCTATTAGTTGAAAAAGGAATAAGCGAAAGTTTATTTTTTATTTTTTTTAGTATATTTTGTTTAAAAACAAATCAAAACAATAGAGAACTTATACTTTTATTTAGCGTAAATAAAGAATAAAAGTGCTTTAGAAAATACTTTAATATCTAATAACGAATCCGACTAGGTGGGGGAGTTTTATTTCACATTATTAATTAATTTTTGGTGTATCTTTTTACCAGAGAATCCTTCAGGGTTTCTAAAACTTACGAATAAATGTTGAAAAAAGATAAAACAATAAGGTTATTATTCATGTTAGTTTATTCAATAATAATAATAAATAAAATAATAAATCCGACTTGGTGGGGAAATTTTATTTGCAAACGGCCAGCCCGAATCAAAGCAGAGAGTAGTCAAAAACTTTATTAGACTAAACAAAAAGGAAAGGGAGAGTTTGAAATGGCAATAAGAAATCAAAAACAATGAATTATAACTTGTAGGATGAAACGGTTTTGATCGGTAGACCTTGATTGAGTAAAATCTACATTTTCCATAGCACGACTATTTTATGCCAAATGTCAAATGTAATTATGAGAGCCGAAAAGTTTCAGGTCACCCTTGGCCGCCTCCCTTCTCCTCTTTGGCTTCAATATTATTATTTCGCTTTGGACATTGTCATGCCGTATCAATCACTCATTTTCTACACTATGGTCGAGCAATCAAGCAACCATTTTGGCATGTGTGTTAATGCAAGTTGCTCACTTGATGCGAGTTTGCTTGCTTAACCCCAACAGCGCCCCCTGTGCCCCCTGTGTCCCCAGTGCCCCCAGTGCCCCAATAACGATCAACCCTCTGCCAAAATAGTAAAAATTGTGTTTGTGGCATTCATTTATTATTGTACACAAATCGCACGAGGAGAGAGGCTTCCATTCGCCCACTCGCCGTCCTCGTGTTGGTTTTGTTGTTAGGTTCATTCGTTTGTAATTGATGATGATTTGTCATTCATTTATTATGATAAATCAGCGCAAAATGTTTTCTCTGTGCGCTCTTGAAATTGTTGTGTATGTGTGTTGTTTGATTTGATATTTTTAGTGTTTGTAATCAAACAGGGACTAATTGATAGCATAACATGGCCAAATACTCTGTGCATACATGCTCGTATTTGCACAACAACAATGCCAATGGAATGGCAACAGTGGGCCGCAAAATGTGCGCCCCCGTGTTTCTAGAGTTTTAAGCAAGTTTAGGTAGCGCTTTCACATCCTGAGCATGTTCAGCAGCCACTGAGCCGCTCAATGCATGCAAAGGCAGGCACACAGGACCCACTCACTCACCGAAATCGTTGTCGCCTGGTTTCTGCCCGAGTTTTCTGCTATTTACTTAGCAGCATTTTCTGCCCAGCTAATCGTTTTCTGCACTTGAGCATATTTAATGCAAAGCGCGTGTCGCTCATTTGCATATTCACCAATGGAGGTCACATTACACATGAAACGATTTGTTCTCACTGCTGGTTAGGGGGCTCACTGGGCTGACTAACTGTCGCAGTTTTTCAATTTTGCACATTCATTGAAATTGGTTTAATCGCTGTATTTTATCGAGATGTTAATCGCAGAAACTTAGCATCACTTTTAATTGCATGCGCTTTGCTAAAGTTTTTTCTATTCTTTTTACTTGCATTTATTTTTCAGTAGCAATATGGCGATAAAATATATCAAGTTTGTGTTGAGAATATATTCAAAAATAATTATAGTTATAGTCAGTCTACTGATTGTCTTGATTACAACATTAGGCAGAAGATCCCAGGACATTATTATGCATTCCATAATGCAAAAGTGATTTGCTCTACAGTCGCGATGATGGCTTTTTGTGAATTATTAGCTGGCTCTGAAGCTGTTTTTAATTAAACTTGTATCTGCCATTAATTGCAATTAATATGTCGTTATATTGTTTTTTACTATAATTTTTGATGCTCAAGTATGAAGTATAAAACGCTGGCATTATAATGTCTATTATATCCGTGTTTGGGACTGGAAGCTACCCTTAGAGTTGCTATCACGTATACAATCACGTTAAGAGGGATACCTTCAGACAGCATAGTACGTGTTAGGGAATGAATAGCATATCCTAGATTTTAGCCTACAGACCGGTGTATCGATTGTTGGAGGTTGTGCAGCAGGGAGTGGATGAAGATTCCGTTGTAAACTAATCATAAATTACTTAAAAAGTTAACAAAAACTCAAAACTAATCAAGATTGCATTATAAACTAATCATACATTATTTAAATACTTAACAAAAACTCAAAACTAATCAGAATAAACTGAAATGAGCAACATTCGGGGAATATTGAAAACTAAAAACTAACCAATAAGAAACATAAGATTTCAGAGAAACTTTAGTCATTTAGCTATTTATTAAAGCAAATGTATTGTGAATTAATTCAAATCCTTTAATCCTCTCTCCTTTGCAGCTATGCGGTGATCACGGGTTTGATTGAAACGCTATCGCGTCGTTGCGTGAAGGTGCGCGAGTCAATTGAACAGAATCAGAGCGTTATGCTCAGTCTGCTGACCACGTTGGGCTTCCTGTCGCGTTTCATTGATGTCTGCCAGCCGGGTAAGTCGCACCTTTGCCAAGGCAGCCATGCATGACTATTTATTTATTTGTATTTTGTTTTATGACATATTTCCCCTCTGTCGTTTTTTTTTTTTTTATGGCAGGTCCTGGCGATCCTACGCGCCTCATGAGTGCAGCCAAGTCTACCGAGCTCTTCGGCACCGTCTCTATGCTTAATGCCTGTGTTGTGCCATTGGGTGAGTTTGTACAATCAACCCAAACAGTAGCTGGAACGGCTACGGCTACGGCAACTGCATCTGCATCTGCATCTATAGCTTGGGTGCTAATTGCATTTGTGCGTGAGCTCGACACTTGGGCGGAAATTAGTTTTGATTTTTATTTTTATGGCTTTCACTGAGCACCAACTACTATAGTATATATGCCTGCCTCTGTGCTCTCCGTTTTTCCATTTGCAGGTGAATGCATACCCCCTCGGACCATCGCTCTGACGGCATCCGCGTTTAATCTCTACGTGTCACTTGCCTCGCTCGATGTGGCCACATTTCAGGTGAGTGGGAATGAGCGGCAAACAAAAATGCATTCAGAGACAGTTTGGTTACTTTTTGGCGTTGTTGTTTATTGATGACGGCGGTTAAACAAATCAAGAAGTTTTGCCAACAACCCTCCAACAATCTCTCGATGCCTGGCGCCCCACTTCTCTACCCCCTCTCCCCCAATTTCCCCGATTTAATCCACTGGCCAAAACGAACGAACGAGCGCTTGTTCAACGAAGCATGAGCCCAGTGAAAATTTCATTGCCTGCTCTCTTCTTTGCTTTGCTCTCGTAAAGTTTGTCGAACGTGAAATCGCTGCAAAATTGAAAAACAACAACAAAAGTTAGGTGGCCAACATTTAGGTGGTGTTGGGGTGGGCTTGGAGCTTAGAGCTTGCCGCTTGGCGCTTGGCGGGGTTGGAAAAAAGAGAACATGCCTTAAATGTTTTTGCAAACTTTCCGATTGCAGTTTTCGAAGTGTGCGGCGCGCAAGGCATTTGTGAGAATTTGCATATTGCCAAATGTCATGACTTGGCGGGGCATGTTTAAGGCGCGTTTTGAGTGACACGGCGCGACAGTCCTACTCACACACACACTTACACGTCTAAATATGTGTGTTTGTGTGTATGCATAGGAGGGAGCTCTAAAATGACAAACAACATCAGCGCGCGGCATTGAACCGTAAGTCGTGCCAAAATGGCATTGGCTGCGTTGACATTTCGAGCAACCTGACAGCCCACCTATTGGTGTGCAAATATTTTGACACTTTACTTTGGGTTCGCTGTCAGCGTCACAGTGTGGCACAGTGGTTACATACGAGTACTTTATTTTTTTTTAGAAATAACGACAAAAGCTTACTTGCTTTGGCAATGTTCCCGTTCAAGTTTCAGAGACAGCTTCATTTCCCTGAAATGTTCGTTTGTTTTCCTAGACTCACAATTAAATGACAGGAAAAGAAGCTCTTGCAATAAGTGCTATTCAAATCCCCTATTTTTGGTAGCAAAACTGGAAAGTGAACTCTAAAATAATTTCATTTCCGCGTAATTTGCAGATCAAAGAGTGAAAAATTCTTTGGTTTCATTTTGAAATGAGAACACAAGAGAATATTTTGAAAGCAATGAGCGATAAGCCTTCTGGAAGCATTATATTTGCTCTATCCAAGAATTGTTTGGTTAGTAACTGCTTTGAAAAGATGCTAAAAAAAAGTGTAATAGTAAAACCTGAGGCCTGGCATTGCTCATGAGCTGGCAGGAATCCCACAATGTTTTAAAATGTAATAATTGTCCTACCTTGAACGAATCTTAAATAAGGATTAAGCCTTTAAAAAAAAATCTATTTTAGAAAAACTATTAACAAAACACAAAACATGTTTTAAATATAAAAAAAATAAGGCACCCATTTCAATTGAATATTCAGTAAGTTGCAGGAAAGCCCCCATAATCGCTTTCGTTTCGTCAAAGGAGTGGAATTCCTTTCTATACCAATGGTTTGCTCAAATTGTATGCATACTGGTAATATTCAAAGGCAATATATTTGTCATCTCAAGAATTCTGTATGAGACACTGTGTGAAGTCGTCATCGTCGATCTGATTCTGATTGTAAGTACCTTGGTATGGCATTTTAAATATGTATGGACGACTATGCATCAAGTTGTGGCAGCGACGACGAATCCCTCCGCCACCTGATTTCACACGTGTCAGTTCAAAACGCGCTTACAGAAACAAACGTAACGAGCAGACAGAGAGACAGACAGACAGACGAAGGAACGGGCGTACAAATTGAGGAGCAGAGTTCTACAGAGTTGGTGGCTACGAATTGAAAGAGCATATATTCATTGACAGAAAAGCAGAGAGACATACAGATACACAGACAGACAGAGAGACAGACGGACTGCCTGCCTGCCTGCTACATTTCATTTCCTGTTCCAACTGTCAATATTTAGACGGCTTGAAGTTGCGCCCACGCAGCGCAGCGCACTTGACAAACTAATTTGTTGCGCAAACTTTGGTGGTGGGCCACGCCCACTGCCTGCCTGCCGGGCTGGCTGGCTGGCTGGCTGCTTGCCTGCCACAGATTAGGCCAACTTGCTAGCTATTTGTTTTAAATTACCACAAAAATACGGATAGATGCGTCTATTTGTTTGTTTGTCTGTCCGTCCGTCCGTCCGTCAGTCTGTTTGTCTGTCTGTTTGCTTCGCTGCGTGTTTTTCTAAATTATTTCACAAAATATAATGTTGGCAGAGTTTGCAAATAATTTTATTAGGTTTTAATCAGCAGCGAGACAAACAGACAAACAGACAAACAGACAAACATCAGACGCAGCATCACCGGCAGCAGCTACAGGCCCAGAAAAGAGGCAACCAATCTGAGGCAACTCAATTTTCAAGTGCCAGCCAGCCTGCGTCTCGCACAAATATTGACTTTGTAAAATGAAATTTTCAAGTTTAACCCAACATAGTACGAGTATGCCTGAAATCAGCCGCGACCCCCGCCTCCCCACCTCGCTGCCCTGCCCTGCCCTGACGTGCTGGCCAACTTGTTAGCTGGCATTTTGATTGTTTTTGTGTGCAACGCAGCGGCAGCAAAAGATCGAGTCAGGCAGCGTAACAAATCCTCGTTCATATCCTGTTGTACTTGGCATGGTACGTCAATTGTTTGGCCAAATATTTGCTTAGTTGCCAGTTGCGTTTGATATTTTTTAGCTGCCGCTTCCTCGCACGGCTGACAGAGTAAACAAATTAAAGCGAGCCCAAGCGGCCTGCCTACTACTGGTCCGTTATGCAAATAAATGTATACCAGGCACACAAAAATAAATAACCCACACGGCAGGGGTGTATTCCAGAAATATAACTACATTTCAGTCCGGGTTTAGTGGCTAATTCTGGGACTTATAGATTCAAAAATCTTCAAACGAATTCTAATTCATTTCTCATGAAGAAAAATATGTATACATATATGACTTTTATAAATTTCTTTATCTTTATATCTATCTATTTGTATATTCTCTTCAATATGTTGTTTATTATTTAACTGATCAAGGACTTATACTCGTAGTTTCACCAAATTTTACATTAAATTTTTAGTAATGATGACATAAATTTCTCAATGTATGTCTTTATATCCTTTTTTATATTCTCTTCTGTTTTTATTATTAGCTGATTATGGACTTCTACTAGTAGCTATACCAATTTGTCAGTCAATTTCTACTAATGATAACTTTTATATTATTTTTTCTTGGAAAAGATTTAGTAAATTAATTATATATTTGTAAAGGGCTCAGTTTTTGAACTTACTCAGTTTTTTGTTTGTTTTTGATTTATTTAACTTCTTGTATTAAAAGGACAGTTTTAATACTTGGAAAATTTAGCAATTTTTTCAGAGGTTATTTTGCAGTTTGTAATGAAAAGATTTTATTTAAAAAATAATATGAAAAGCAGACATTAATTGAAAAAGTGGGAAAATTAATAAAAAGTAGTCCATGAATTAGTTCAATAGTTTCTTTTTAAACCATTCACTTGAACATATTCTAGACGAAATGTAGAAGCTTTAAGGGCGAATATTTCTTTAACATTTTCATCAAAATGAACTTTTCGGAACACCCCTAGTATACATATACTTGTACATACATACGAGTATATAACGTATGTATGCACTTCATTTCCTGCTAAACAAGTGCTACTCTTCCTGCCGATTTGTAGTTGTTGGTGCCCTTTTATTTACTTTGACTTAATTAAAACATTTGCCCAGCGATTCCACACATTTTTTTTTAGTTTGCCGGGTGTGTGGGTTGTTGGCTTTGAACTTGTCGTGGGTTTTTATTTTGTTGTTGTTTTCTTTTTGCTTTTTTTCCGGCTACTTGTTTGCTGTATTTGTTATTGTTGCCAATTAAGTGGCACTCATTTGTTTATTGAGCTCCATCATTTGCTCTCACAGGAGGTGCTCAGCGCTGAGGGTGCCCTTTCGTTCAAGCTGCTCGATGTGGTTACCATAATACTGAACTATTGTGCGACGAGTGCGGAAGTGATGGCGAATAATGAAAGCACGACCATGCTCATCGATTTGATAGCGACACTCGCCTTCTTCAGTCTGAACAATCGCAAGCATCAGGAGATGCTCGTTTCGGAGCAGTTTGCCGTCATCTTCAAGAGTCTGGCCAAGCTGTCGACTCAATTCAATCCGGTCATCTATCCATTTTTGGTGACCATTTGTTACAATAATGCGGCGGCACGTCAGGTGATATCACGTGATTTCGAGATAGGGGTAAGTTCATTTAAGCTAATCCATAGAGTTATCGCCATTTTTGTGTATCTGCGCCCGTTGACAGTTTCTGGACGAGTACAGCAAATCGGATTCGGCCAAGCGGAATCGCCTAATACAGCTCATGCACAACAGACATAAAGGCAGTGGCAATAGCAACAACATCAATACTACCAGCACTAATAATGGCAACAACAACGGCAACTAGGGCTGAGCTGAAACTCCAAACACATCTGGATTTGCATGATCGTGGCAAAGTGATATTATTTTCAAAGAAAATTAAAAAAAAAAAAAAACAATACAAACAAACATGAAAACACTTAAAACATTCGCAAAGACAAACTGCTTAGAATTTAACACAAATATTTATGCTAAAATAATTTATAATGTCAAAAAATAATTTATGCTAGTGACTAAAACTCAACTCATAACATTCGCAACATTCGAACACAGAAGCAACAACAACTCGCATAGTTTATAAACATCATCATAATTTATTATTAATGCAAAGTATTATTATAAACTCATTTGGCTATAACTAACTTTTGTTATAGCCATTTCTCATTATGAAAAATTCTCAGTCTCGAATTTGTTGTACCTTAATTAATTTATTTTATTCGATTTAAAATCGCTCTTACTAAACGTTACACATCAACAACAACAATTTACGTATTTTTATATAACAAATCAACAATCTATATACATAAATAAATATATAAAACAAAACGCCTGCTGTTTTTATTTCATTCTCATTCGCATTTCAAGTTCAAAACTCGAATAGAAGCTGCAAGAAAATTACATTTCTGCGTATACATTCTATAAAGCACAAAAAGAAGAAAGTATTAACAAAGAAGAAAGAATAGTCGGAAAGCACAAAAAGAAGAAAGTATTAACAAAGAAGAAATAATAATAGTTATGCTAGTCTGAAGAGCTTACATGAAAACATTTAAACGTTTCGCTTGCTTGGAATTAGAGATACCGATGTCCTGGTCTGCTCATATTTTTATCAAGGAAGTAAATATGCTCTCGGATTAGAGTATTTATTTACTTGTTCTTGGAAAGCTCAATGTTTTATATCGATTCTATTAAAACCTCTTACCGCTATGATACAAACAATTAATACATTATTTACGCTTTACCATCATTGCGCATTTATAACACATTCCACAATGTCCATTTAGAAATTACTTAAGTGGAACTAATTTGATTCTATTAGAGAGCCTGCAGTCCTTTTGGCTCGCTTTACAAGCGTTGTCCAGTGCATTCAAAGAGCTTATGTAACTGACAACTAAACTGACGTAGTAGCTAGCAGTTGTAGCTACATGAGGTCTTCCACCAAAAGGCATCTATTTATTTGTGCGATGATATTTCCATATATAATATTTTCCAAAAAAAAAAAAAAACAATATATGTTTTTTTGTCACGATAAAAGTCGTGTTTCTAAAGTTTAACACCCACTAATTCGTAATTCCCACAGAATAATAGTTGAAGCAATTTTGAGAGAAATGCCTTAGCGGTTTTTTAAAGAAGCATTGGGTAAGTTTCCCTCATGCTTGGGTTGAATTGCCTCCAAGCCTGTTCTAGTGCGCACTATCAAGAGCAATGTGGGTGCATTTGCTTGAAGAATCGTTGATACATCAATCTGAATACCTTTGTTTATAGTATTTGTAGTATTACTCAACGTAGCAGATAGATCGTTGAGTTTCATCATATTTAGAGAATTGAGATAAAAAACAAATAGTCCATATCTAGCGAACTAATTGTATTTGTAAGTAAAATAGCAGCTCCACTTTTGTGTATTAAATGGAGAGTCATTTAAATAATCATGGTACATATTTTCTTAATACCTATGTGTGTCCATGATTTTCACATCTTTCCAACCCTCTGCACATTTTTCGCATTACACGTTTGAAGTGCGCCAAACAAAGCCAAAGCAGAGAGCAGGTCGTACAGGGGACACAAATTAAAAACGACAAAAATGTAATGTGCAGCAATTTGTGGGCGTGGGCGCAGCACTCGAACAAAGGCAAAACTCATCAGTCGACGTGAGTCTTTTGTCTTGGCCAAAAGAAAAAGCCCAGGCGTGGGCGGGCGTGTTGGCCATTGTGTTGTCGTTCTCGCTGTTGATGTTGTTGCTGCATCTAGCCCTTAGCCAGCGCAGAATTGTGTCACACGTTGGGACACAGGACATCTAATTTCTTTGGACATTGTACGTGTGTACATTTTTTAATGCTGCCATATGCACCAAGGGTTGTCAAATTGTTAAAAAAAAAATAAAAACAACTGCACAGAGAAGGAGAGAGGGAGGGGAGAGATTGAAAGGCAACGCACAATCACAAAGAAAAACTTGGCGAGTCTCTGGCGACAGATTGAAATCACTCAACTTGAAATAAAATGCGACAGTTTGGCGGCTGGGGCAGGGAAGTTGCTCAACAGTTGCACAATAAAACACAACAATATGCGGCTATATTTTTAAGGGTACTACTCTTTTCTTCACTTTTCCCTACGCTCAAAGAGTAACATCTGAGTATGCTCCATTTGTGGTAATGTTTGCAACACACTGAAGAAAGTCTATGATAAATGTAAAGAAGTCCTGTATATTCAGATCTTTGTTTTTATGAACAGTTTCATATTAAAATGTATCGAAAAGAAGTCTTATTTTTATTAAAAGTCACTACTTTCATAATTTCAGCATATTAGATTTGTTTCAGATATTGTAACATATCTATTCACCAATTAAATCATTTCCTTTTATACGAATAATTTGTGTCTTACGATATCTCCACAATTTGTATATTCAAGCTTTACTTTTACCTTATGTGATTGGAATAAAACCTTTCTAGCTGCAATTTAAACGAGCGGACCCAACATCAACACGCCTGGGAGTAGTTTATATTTCTCAATTTCTATTTATTCCCAAGTTAGGTAAATATATCTTATTTATCTTTTTATCTATTATGGCAGTGGATGCGAGAAAAATTGTACAAAACTACCCATAAATAGTCTATATTTTATGGGTTAACTTGATTATATATAGATTGTATATTTATGTATCTTGCAATAATTGGTAGATACTTTAAAAATATATATTTTTAGTTTAATAACTATGTTTTCAGCTTTAAGATTTTCATAATTCACTTTTAGGTTAAAAAAAAAACAAATCTATAGTTTGTTTTCAAAAACTCATTTAGAAACGATTGAGTTTTTTTTTTTTTTTTTGGGTTACTTCAACAAATCTGAGTGTAATTTATATTTTATTAATGAACTAGATTATATACTCGTGTAGTATGTAAAGTTATGGATGTTGCAGGCTCTAGTTTAAAAAATATTGGTATACAGTTTAAAAACATACATTTTTAGTTTCAAAAATGTGTTTCAAGCTTGGGTAAATACTTTTTGATTTATATATTTTAAGATGCTTATGATAAAATTGTAATATTAAAAACAAATCTATAATTTGTTTTCGAAAACTTTTTTGAAACGATAAAGTTGTTGTTATATTTTATTAATTAAATTGATTATGTATTTGTGAAGTATATATATATTTATTTATGTTGCAGGCTCTAATTTTTTAAGATTATTGCTATATATTTGAAAAATATGTTTCAAGCTTAGGCAAATACTTTGCGTATTATATATTTTTTAGAACCTATCTTCTAACATAAAGAAAGTAAATATGTTCTCATTTTTAATACAATTTGAATATTATTAGAAATCTATATTTTGTTTTTGTTCTGAGCATAAGACTTTTACAAGAGTATGTCACCTTCGGCTCAGGACGAGTTGTTGTGCTTACCTCTTGATCTTGATTTGATTTTTAATGTGAAGCCCAAAAAGCAATGAGAAAATTGGTGTTAGCAAAAGGCAAGTGCTTGACAGTTGCAGGGCCAAAAAAGGGAAGGGGACTGATTGAAATGAAAGTGCGTCAAGCAACCCTTCTACAGTTGTTTTCGGTTTTTATTCAAAGTAAAATAAAACACACATAATTGCTATGTAGATGTAGATGTGAACACTTTGTCGTTGTGCGAGTAGCTGGGCGACTCTAATTGCCAGGCAATGACTAAATGACTAAGCAGACGACAGTTCAACGTCAAAGTCAATAATATGCATGTATCACAAAACACCAATTTGGGCCTGATGGACTGATGGACTGATGGGCGCTCGATAGCCAGCGCAGGGCTCCTCAATCAAAATTATGACAAAGCAACAACCCCTGGGGGTATGCAACACGCAGAGGCGCGTTTTGTGTAGATTAGTTTCTGGGCCGCAAGGCTGAGCAATTAAAATGAAAAAGTGCCACGAATGTGTGTTGCGTGCATTGAACGCATAAGGCAGGGCTTTGTCTGATGGGGTGCTCCTTTAAGCCCAAGCTGCAAAGTTAATTGCAACTTAAAGAGGCAGCAATGCGTGCGGTTGACTACAAACTGATTTGAAGGTGCGGCTAGCAAACAAACGGTGTAAAAACCAAACAAGTTTCGCGCCTTTTCCGCACACACACACACACACACACACACACACACACACACACACACACACACAAATAGAGATGGAATGTTGACCAAAGCAGTGCGAAGTGGCCAAAAGGGAAAGTTGGTGCACGTTGTGTCCTTTTTTAATTTTGGACTTTTCATTTTTGTTTGCTGCGCTGTGCTTTGACTTCCGCAGGATACGCTTCTAATTTGTTTACAAGCCAGCGACGCGAAGTTGAAGTCAATGCCGTTGCCGAGGCTGACGTGTCAGGCGCACATTACGAGCGATATATAGTACGCGATAAGCAGTCTATGGACTGGAGACCGGAATAGAGGTGGAAGCGTGATAAAACTTTAGAATAACTTGTTGGTTTCAATTACCTTAAGGTTAACCATACCTACAGACTTACCATCGCCTCCTTTTTAATAGTATTTTTGAAAAAATACAAAATTTGTTTCCATGACTGTGAATCCTGTGCATAGTTTTGCTTGAGGTGAGTGTTGGGTAGAATTTGAACTCAATACTATATATCAAGATCAGGTAAGTCAACAAGTTAGCATTTCTAGCTGGTTCTTATTGTCGACCGGGCTCCTACAAAACTTCCGCCTGATTCCGAGGGTTTTAGGCTTCACCAACAAATCTTGGTTTGTGATTTGAAACATGGAGCTATTTATTGATTTACTTTCGCCTGTTTCACGATATGGTTCCTACATTTACAGACTTTAATGCATTTATTCATGTAACTGTGCGGTTATATAGATGTCATATTATTAAATAAAATGCAAAAGTAGGGAGATATGTTATTTATTAGGTTAAAAATAAGATGCACTTTCATTTTGTGAGATTTTAAAATGGATAGCGGCTGAAGATTGCATTTTAACCAGAAATTTGGAGTAAACATTGAGGTCAATGAATTAGATCTGAAATGTCTTGTTAATTATTATTTTTGGCTTCAATTTAAAATCTTCAATTAAAATCAGAAATTATACTCAGTGGTAAAGTTTGGTTCAACAATAATCTCTATAAAAAAAGGGATAAGAGAAAAACTTTTCATGAAATACTTATGTATGAATAAGTATAGTGTTTTCTAAAGGGCAGTGTTTTCTTTGGAATTAGCACTGACCTTTAAAAAAATGTATAGCTTAGCTTCCTTATTTACACAATGTTATTCTTCTTAATTGAATTTTCAACTTTATATTAAAGCTGC